GCACTCGGCTCAAAAGATTAAAAATGTTGACAGTAGCATACCGTGATTGTACTCTTGAGTCAGAAACAAGCTTTTCACAGAAGGTCGAAAAGATATGAATGACGACGCTGAAAATGTTGAGAAAGTGAAGAAAATTATTATGTATAATCAGAAATTTTTGAATGACGACAACGGCGATCCAGATTTGCCTAAAAGGGTCATAACTGGTGACGAATCACGAAGTTCAATCGTCCCAATGGAAGAGCCCAGAAAAACCAAGACCAAAAAAATTAAGTTAGAAGAAATGTCAAGGTTTTGCTCACTGTTTTCTCCGTGGCGAAGTGCATCAGGAATTTTTGTCAAATAGTAGTACAGTCAATAAGGAATATTATCTTGAATTATTACGTCGCGAAGAAAACGTACAGTATTGTGAAAAAACAATTCATTTGCATCACGATAATGCACCTGCTTACTCGTCATTAGCCACCGTATTCACCAGATTTGATCCCCTGCGATTTTTTCTGTTCCTAACATTGAAAAGAGCTATCAAAAGATGAGGTTTTGCGACGATTGATGAGATAAAAAGCGAATCGCTGATAGAGATCAAGAACATACCAAGAAGTGCATATCAGATCTACTTAGAGGATTGAAAAACATGCTGACACAAGTGTATTTGAAGTGTACTTTGAAGGGGATAAAATAGGAATAGATGTTTGAAGGTGGTTGACAATGTTTCGTGGTGTATTTATTCAGTTCGGACTTCCATTGTCCAATGTAATATAAATTGATTCTGATCCTGAAAAAATTAAAAAAATTAACCGAAAGTAACAATTTCATTAAACCAAAAACTGAAATTACAACTAGACACTTTCCTGAAGCACATCAGCAACGTAAGTCCTTTGATCACTTTCACAATGGAGAAGGAAATCCTCAACGAATTGCCCTTCTTAGACGTTTTGGTGAAGACGATCGACACTAAATGGGAAACATCTGTATATCGAAAACTCACTCACACAGGACAGTATTTGAACCAGAAATCCAACGATCATCAATCGACTTAGGGAGGAATCATCAAGACTCTACTAGACCGTGTTTTTGGGCTCTGTAATACAACGGGAGGTCTCGAAAAGAAAGTAGGCATCATCAAAAATGGCCTTCAACGGAATGGTCACTCCAGAGCGATGGTAGAAGAGGCCTTAGCTAGGAGACAGCAAGAACTCCACAAGGAAGAGAAGCCGCCACAACCAGTACTTGTACTTCCCTACATCAGAGGATTATCGGAAAGGATAAGAAGGATTGGGTCCAAGTACAACATCAGGACTTGCTTCAGATCTGGGAACACCATCCGTAGCAGCCTCACGAAAAGCAGGCCACCAAACGCGGACTGCGATTCCAAGAATTGCATTTACTGGATACCCTGCGAGTGCGGAGAATCATACATCGGTGAAACTATGAAGCCATTGAAAAGTAGGCCAAAAGCCCGAAATACGTGTCTATGGTTTGCCACTTTCATGAGTGCTATGTCCGATATTAACTTCTGTTTCTATATCAAGACACTCAATAACTTTCATATCGCGTATATCAATTATATTGCCTCACACTCATACTGTTGTCTACCTAAAAATATAAAAATGAGTCATAACATTCATCAATTCAAAAAACTTATTGAATCCTGGGTAAGAACTTCACAAAATAGTGAAAGTATCATAAATCCATTATTAGACACAACGTAAGTTACATATGTGTGTGTATATATGTGTATAGGGTCGGTACTTGTGTGTGCATTGGTTTATATGTGTATATATGTGTATACAACAGATATAATAAAATAATTCAGTAGTCATCTTGTTACTTGCCAACTGTTAATGTTTTCTGATTCTGTATCATACCTTTTTTTAACAAAAAATTAGGAACTTCAAATATCTCTAACAAATATTATCCATTGAAAAAAAATTAAAAAATATCAAAAATATTATCCATTGTTCATTTGAAATGTCCTGTTATCATAATTTTTTTTTTTAAATCGAGTGTCAAAAATTGTAATTAGAAGATAAGTCCAAATGTTGAAATGTGAAATAAAGTTATTATTATTATGCGTTGATTTTGTTTCCACTGATAATAATTGTTATTGACTTCCTCATTGAAATGAACAACAGCGATCAACATTCAATTTGTCAATGACGGATGAAAAAATTTCGAAAAAAATTACAGAGGTAATAGAGGAACAAAATACCTTTCAAATGATGTATCACTCGACCCCCCATCCGTTGAAAAAATTAGGGGGGTAGTTGCTGACCGCAGGGGGGTGAAGTTTCGGGTATGATTTTCATATCAGGAATAATCCTCCTAGAAATAAAAATCAACGTGTTTTTTTAAATTTTCGATTACACGTCCGTTTCTGACTTACTGGGGGGTCAAATTTTCGATAAAACGCCCTGTATATAGATGCTTCTTCCGAAAAGTCAATGAAGAGTGGCCCCACTCCACTCTGGGGAACTTTTCTCTCCATAATGCGATTATCAGAACTTCCTCCATATTTACTCTGATACGACAACTCACAATATAGCTCTTAGGGCGGGGGTACCTTTTACGGATAACAGAAGGAATATAAGCTATTTTCCAAGGCATAAATTCGATAAAACAAAAATTTCAGACGAAAGCCCATGTCGGAACGGTAATTGAGTTCCGGTTATATTTTCCTCCCGATTTCGTGACTGGTGGCGAAATGAAATGAATATTATCAACAGAAAATGTTGAAAATTCTGTCACGTCAGAGTGCAGGTTTCGGAATATTAGGATATCTTACGGATCATTGAAAACTGAATTGAGAACGTGGTGGGTATTTCATGATCGGGGTTAGGGTCCGGTTTACTATGGAAGGGGCTTCAAATCATTACCAGAAATGTATCGTCTTCAGTGCCATGATGAATTTCTAACATTAAAAACTCGTTTACATTTTATTCTTTCATTAGTGATAGGTATTGTTCAATTTTTAATGTTATATGTATTTCATTTATAAATAATACTTTTATATAAAGTGGTAAAAAAAAATATTTCGATCTGAGTCCAATAAAGTTGATCGTTTACATTTTTAGAAAAAAGATATCAATAATGAGTAGGTTTACTTGGAATTATTTCTGTTGTTATTCCGTTGGTTTTTCAATATTTGCTATATCTATTGTTAGATATTGCTGTCCTTATGTTTTGTATTTGATTATAATTACTAAAGTTCAAAAAAATATATAAGTTACAGTTTGCGGTGATGAAATTTTCCATTTCGTATGTTATTTTATTATCTGATGATTTTTGCGGACATATACGGCAAATTTGAACCGGTTTCTCATGTAGGGGAAGGTGGGGGAATTGAGAACGGCGAGTAATTGGGAACACGTTAACAAGTTACACTTCCCCTTCTCTTACTTCGTCCCGCGCCTATTCACGGTACGCTTCCTGCTCCCCTCAGTGCACGAGCGACAGTGAGAGAGGAAGGCCACACGTATCTTGTCACGGTGAGTCAAACATTTTTTTTGCATTTTTGTTATAATTTTTGTGTTCTCATACAGTGGATGTAAATGTCATATTTCTGAGTACAATGACACTATATTTCGTAAGTTCATTGTATGGAATATCTGTTTTCAAACGCCTCGTTTCATAAAATTCATTAAAAATGCTATGGAAGGTGGCGACCATTTTGATTCAAATTGGCGACTGCGGGTAGTTAGGAACGGTGAGTGGCGGGTAATTGAGAATGTTCCCAATTACCCCTCACATTCTCAATTAATCCAGTGCTGCTAATTGTTTTTATATTTTTATTTTAATGCAATATTTTTTTTAGATGCCACGAAAATACATTCGGAAGACCGAGACAAGGTACGCAATCGAAGATCTTCGCCGTGCAGTTGAAGAAGTTAAAAATCAAAGACTCACATTGGGCAAAGCCGCTACTCAATTCTCAGTACCAAAAACAACGTTGTTTAAACAACTAAAAGAAACCGTAGTCAAAACACCAAAAAAAGGTCGGCACGCAGTGTTTAATTATGAGCAAGAACAACAGCTCGAAACATACATTGTTGAATGCTGCAAGTCTTTTTATGGCATAACACCGAGTTCCTTGCGCCGAATTGGTTTTCGATTTGCCGAGGTCAATAAGTTGAGACATAATTTTAACAAAAACACGCAGCTAGCAGGCAAAGATTGGTATTATGGATTCATGGCCAGACATCCATCCATCAGCTTACGTATGCCAGAAGCTACCTCTATTAACAGAATAACAGCTTTTAACGCTACTGAAGTCAACCTGTTTTTTGACCAACTAAAAATTATCCAAGCCAAGCACAATATACCTGGTCATCGCATTTTTAATGTTGACGAGATCGGAATAAGCACTGTTCAAAAAAACTACAAGATTTTGGCCCCAAAAGGTGTAAAACAAATAGGAAAAGCAACAAGCGGAGAACGTGGTGTCACCACAACAGTAGTGTGTGCTGTTAGCGCTAGTGGCATATATATCCCCCCCATGTTTATATTTAAAAGAAAAAGAATGAACGAACTGCTAATTAAAGGCTGTAATAGGGACATGGTCGCAACGGTTTCTGATTCTGGCTGGATCAATGAGTCAATATTTATCGACTACTTGCGACACTTTATTTCTTTTGCCAAACCTACCAAAGAAGACCCAGTGCTATTAATTCTCGACAATCATGAAAGTCATATCAGTTTAGGAGCATACGAACTTTACCGAGAACACGGTTTGCACGTTCTTTCTTTGCCACCCCACGTATCTCACAAAATGCAGCCATTGGATCTTACAATCTTCAGTTCACTGAAAATGGCTTACAATAAAGAATGTGAGCTCTACATGGCCAACAATCCTGGGAAAAGAATAGGCCAGTACGAGGTTGGGGAACTTTTCACCAAGGCCTTCAACAAAACAGCTAACATAAACAAGGCTATCAGTGGTTTCAGAGCTGCTGGAATTTATCCTATCGACCCTGTCAAATTTAAGGACAGCTTTGAATGCTCACTGTATGACCAAGCCGACACCAGTCAGACTCAAGCAAGCGGTGATTCGGAAACAACACCTGCGCAAAATTTTGCTGGGCCCATTGATACAGCCAGACTGAACCAGACACCACCAATGCAAATATCACATTCACATGATGCCACCATCACTTCAATTCCTAAAAATGACAACGATATGAGTGTTACCACTGTCTGCACTCCTCCTGTTCCATCCACTCCTGTACCACTCACTGAAGTTACTAACGTGCCCGTTATACTTCAAACACGCACAACTTCTAGGCGACAGAATAAGAAACATGCTCAGATTTTATCCAGCACACCAATCAAGACTCAATTAGAAGAAAAACTAACAAGACAAAATATGAGAAAGTACGAGAAAGAAAGAAAGCAAGTACAGAAGAACTTCTTAGGCAAAGGTAAAGGTAAAGGAGTTAAAAATTTAAAGAAAACTTTAGGAGGAAATGAAAACAGTGAGGAGTTTCTTTGCATAATGTGCAATGAGAAATATGAGTCCCCACCGGCAGAAGACTGGATAATGTGCTCCATTTGTAAGCTTTGGGCACACGAACAATGGACTACGGGCGAGACCAGCAAAGGTTACGTGTGTGATTTGTGTCGCGGAGTGTAATTATAATTTAATTGTAACTGTTTCCTGCGCCACTTATATTTACCCCATACCGGTCTCATTTGCCCCGCGCGCTGATCTCAATTACCCCATGGGGTTTCGGGCAAAAAGGAACGGCAAGGTTTTTTGTTTTCATTAATATGTCTAATAAAAAATTGATTATTAAGAGATTTTTTGTCAGTTATAAACAGATAGATAAGTAATGTTTATGTTTTGATAAAAGTTGAATATTTTTTAAATAAAAAAAGTTACTTTTTTGCCATTAAAGTTAAGTGTTCCCAATTCCCCCACCTTCCCCTATTCATTTTTTTACTGTCATTCAGGTAGCTATTTGATCTTCCCCATTTTGAAAAATAAAACCAAGGCAAAAGAGAATCTGTCTGAGCAAACTGAAAAAATCACCACTTATAAGTTCAATCACTCAGTAACTTTGTCATATTTGAAAATGTTGCCTTCAAATTGAATAATGTACGAGAAAATAATAGATTGTTAACGGTTCAGAATGTTATACCCTTCCGTTCTTAAAATCCATAAAAAAATCACCTTGGGTGAAAACACCTATTTGTTTTCACCAACGTTAAATAAATAAAATGTTCAAATGAGCCGCCCCGGCTCCGCACAGATTCAATGCTGATACCAAATATACATATAAACGCATGCGATCGCTGCTGATCATAAAGTGATATAGGGCGAAGCGCTGCCTTTGATGCGCTATTTGTAGGCACGAACTGTATTTAATGTACTTAATTGGAAAAGGATTATTGCTGTATTTTTTGAAATCGTTTCGTAAATGAGCCATTTTTTCTCGAGGATAAGGAAGTGTTATCGGGTTATCCCTAAGACATAGACATCTACCACCGCGGACTTTCTTTTAGACATATGTAGTATATTTTTTCATTTATCTCCTAGGGTTCTGCCAGCGTTTGCAATGTGAGCGCAAAGAATGTGTTCATTTACGACATCACATCACAAACTTTCAAAATTATCAGTTGCTTCTCTATTATATTATGCATGTCATATACATATAAACCTTCCTCTTGAATCACTCTATTTATTGAAAAAACCACATCGCATCAAAATCCGTTGCGAAGTTTCAAAAATCTGAACATATATAGAAAGAAACCGCGGGAGGCGACTTTGTTTTATACTATGTAATAATATAGCACATTCACGATGTTTTTCCAGGTTGGATTCATATTTCCATGTTCAACCTCCCGCCTCAGCAATGGTAACAAAGTACGTTCTATTGCAGCAGAACGATTTTAAATACACCTGTTGATAGATGAAGTTTTTTTCCTGATTTTTCATATGAGGTTCCCAAGTGACAATTTACGCGATCAACAGTTGGTTTCGAAATGTCTCTGCTATCCTAGATCCTTTTATCTCTCTTCCCTTCATATATTCATATTATTGTGTTATATTGTGTTATATTCCGTGTTAGGAATCACGCGTTAAAAGGTAAGACCTCGTTAATCCTTAGCTCGCACAAGTTTCCACTTCTGAGGGTTGTCGTTCGTAGGGGTGCGACAGCTGGTTGACGGAAAAACAGACAGACAGATAGTATGTGGCTCACTGTTTGTTCTCATCAACTTTGAATACGCGTCTTCTTCGGAAACAGTTTTGATAATAGTTACTTCCTCTTCCACATCGCTGACTGATTGAACTCTTCAGTGATTGAAATTACAAAGTTAACTTTCTGGGTGGATTTTTCAGTTAACTTCAATAAATTCTCCACACTAACACTAAGTGGGAAACATATGTATCCAGAAAACCCACTCACACGGGACAGTATCTGAATCACGAATCCAACCACCATCAATCTACCAAAAGAGGACTCATCAAAACTCCAGTGGATCGTGCTTTCGGGCTCTATAATACGAAGACAGGCATCATCGAAAAATATCTTCAACGGAATGGTTACCACAAAGTGATGGTGAAACAGATTTTGGCTAGAAAACAGCGAGTGCCCCACAAGGAAAAGAAGCCGCCCTTCCCTACGTCAGTGGATAATCGAATAGGATAGAAAGAATTGAGTCCAAGTACAACATCAGAACCTGCTTTAGATCCTCAAACACCATCCGTAGCAGCCTCATGAATACTAGACCACCAAACACGAACTGCGATTCCAAGAATTGCATTTACCAGATATCCTGTGGGTGCGGCAAATCCTATTTCGATTAAACTAAGAGGCCATTACCGTGCACAAGAGAAATACACAGCGATGAGAAACTACCAGATCGGAATAGCAGAGCATGTTTGGACTCATCATCATGACATAATGTGGTACCATAACGAGAATATTCACAGGGAACACTGGTTTGACTGATGATAGAGAGAAAGATAATAATCAAAAGCGTTCAAATAGTCATTTCTCGGAAGAATAGTCCAACTATCATCCGAAGACGACTGTGGATACTAAAAATCGAAACGTCGTGAAGTAACTTGGTTTGAAATCTTTCCAATTTTTATTTCATTTTTGAATGATCTATTTTTAATTTTTTGCTAATTTTCATTTTATTGTATTCATTATATTATTTCAGAGATTTGAAATTATATTATATCATATTAGATAATGGAAGTCCGAACTAGTAAAATCAATCATGAAACATTTGTCAACCACTTTCAAATAAAAGTTAATTTTCTATTGAAAGAAATAAATTATCATAAAAAAAATATCCTAATATTCATTATATTCAGCTATTTGATTAATAATGATGATCTTTGTGCATTTCAAATAAAGACCTGAAACTTATACATTTCTAATTCACCTACCTTCAATTAGGATAGGAATTGACTCAGCTAAAGAGAGAAAATATTTGCAAAACTGAATGAAAGTAGATGGGATGGATACAAAAGAAGCGAACCAAAGTTAATTCGTTGTGAAAAACAATGAGTTAAACTGCTCATAAAGCCACTGAAATGAGAGAAATACATTTTTCAAACGTTTAAGAATACTGATATTCCTTGATAAAAAAATAACTATGAAGTAATGAACACAAAAGTGACTGTAACAACTCGACGTTAAGACTCCAGAAATGATGCATCTTCAGATGAGTTTGCATCTCAAATCGCCCATTCTATGGAAACATACGAGTATTCCCAGATAACTGAGAGTCGATGAAATCGACTCTACTTTGGGCACACGATTCTTGAACCCTACAGATGTAGTGAGAAGTAATGGTTATTGATGTGAAACATTTATAGCCGCCAATAAAACTGATTGGTGGCATGACGACGCATTCCGTGGCAACGGGTCGCCGTGCGCAAGCGATTGTGCGATTCTCTTACCACTGATTCGACGTGTCCGCGGTTTGCCTCCATATTTCTTGAGTGTCATGTCCACGAATTTCCTCCTTTTGATTTATATCATACACACTCAATAATATCTATATCTCTGTATCTATATCCTGGACCCGGAAGTCACGCAGGTAGCTATAGCTGCCTACGTGGTGATGTTAGATGATGCCTGGGAATGCTGGGTCTTCTAATTGAAACCACAAATGTGCGGTTGGCTCCTGTTGGTGACACCGTGTATAT